AGAGTAATCAGCTGACTTTCTCTTCTTACCTTGGGTTTTGTAGTTACGGATCAGAGCTTGGTTTTGGATTTAAGGCAAGTTTTCTTTAGTGAATTACCTCCCTTTTCTGTGTTATGTGCGAGTTGTGGTAGGATTTTGAGTTTGTGCTTTCTTTTTCTTGATCGGATCGAGCAAGAAATTTTTGGAACTTTTCAGTTAGGTTATCAGTTGTTGTCACTAAGACAAAGTCGATTCCTTTATTGTATGAAACCGCTCATGAGTCGTTTGACTTGGTTATATTTTGAATTTAAAGACTTGTACCTAATAATCATGACTCTAGTTAGACTGGTTTCGAGATTTCTTTGTTGTTGAATGTGTGATCTGAACTTGATCTGTGGATTTTGGCCATTCTTGAATTTCGAGTGATATTATTATGAGTTGGAATCTCAGGAAGGAGAGTTCGTTTTAGAGCTCTGCTCTGCACAAACTCTCCTTTTGGTTGGTGTTTGATCTTTCAGTTTGTGGTTCTTTTCCAGGATATGATTCTGTTGCGAAATCAATAAACATTTTCTCATAAAGAAATGACTTGTGGTCTTCAGAAACTGTTTTTCTACATTGTCGATTATGTTTAGTTGGACGTCAGGGGTTTATTCTAGATTTTTTTATAATTTCCCGAATCAACTGTAAGACTTAATCTTTCGGTTACGTTACATTGTGATTTGTTATCGTGAGGTCCCGTAAATTCTTTCTGGGTTTAGTGTTTATACCTGTTGAGGCTGTTCGACACACAATTAAGCAACGCAGAATAAAATTTTTGGCTTGCATTGATATGGAATAGCCTTTTGCATGCTAAAGAAATATTCAAACACCATCGCTTGGTGAAAAAATTGCTCACCTTCATGTTGTTCTTACTGATCACAAACACTTAGTTCACTTTTGAGTGCCACATGTCTTCTGGATGTGCGAGTTGCCTAGAAAGATGAGACCATTTACAAATACTGATGCTGATTGGCCTTTATTTTTGCAGGATTGTTTCTTAGGTTTTGCAATGGACTCCCCACAATCTGTTGTTTCACCATTCAAGATTGGTGAATCAGAGAATGAGAACTCAACTTCTGTGCAAAGCTCTGGAAACCGATCAAATGGCATCAAATCCAATGGAAAAGATTCTATCACTTGTGGCCGGCAAGACCTTGTTGGCACTCTTGAGGTTTATGTGCATCAGGCAAGGGATATCCATAACATTTGTATATATCACAAGCAAGATGTTTATGCCAAGCTTTGCCTTACAAGCGACCCTGAAAAGAGTGTCTCGACCAAAATCATCAATGGTGGTGGGAGGAATCCGGTTTTTGATGACAATGTTAAGCTTGATGTCAGGGTTTTTGACAGTTCCCTCAAATGTGAGATTTACATGATGAGCAGGGTGAAAAATTATCTCGAAGACCAGCTGCTTGGCTTTACTCTGGTTCCTATGTCCGAACTGCTCTTCAATAATGGGAAACTCGAGAAAGAGTTCTCTCTTTCTTCCACTGATCTGTACCATTCGCCAGCTGGTTTTGTTCAGTTGTCTCTCTCCTACAATGGATCCTACCCTGAAGTGATGGCTATTCCCACTATGCCTTCATCTGTTTCTGTTGATGAAACTACCAAGAATCCCGAAGGGTCTGAATCAGTTCCGGATGAGTTTGATAAGTTAGAGTTTCCAGATCCTAATGTCGCGAATGAAAATGAGAAAATGGTATCCGAGTACTTTGGTATCTCCTGTTCCACTATTGACTCAGAAACTTCTGACAGCTTGGTTACTTCTGATACTGAGAATCRTGTAAACAATTCTGTCACTTCTATACTGAAGCATGATTCACCTGAGAGCAGCAATGCAACAAATGGTGCTGCTTCTCCTCATGCTTCAGCTCACTCGGCCACAGAAACACCAAACCATGAACATCTCTCTCTTGTGAACCCCAAAACGAATTCCCAGGAGTCAGAGAGCGAGGCTTCAGGTGAGACATCCGAGGAGAAGTTTGTGAAACCCATCTTCACTGCAAAGGTTGAGCCAGAGTCGAAGGTGGTGCAGCAGGATATAGTCGACATGTACATGAAAAGCATGCAACAGTTTACTGATTCACTGGCTAAGATGAAGCTTCCTCTGGAAATTGATAGCCCAACAAAATCAGAGAATTCAAGCTCTGATTCTCAGAAGCTGCCAACTCCAAAGAGCAACAATGGATCCCGTGTGTTCTACGGGAGCAGGGCTTTCTTTTGAGCATATGTTTTACCAAGTTCAGAGGAAGAACGCAGGTCACTCCTAGACTTTTCTAATGAAGAAAGACTAATCCTAATGATGTAATTCTATAATGTACTGTTTGATGCTGTATCTCCCATCTGGTCAGCTTGATGCTTTAGTTGATGTGAAGTTATGATGATGTATCTCTAGCCTTTGCTCTATTAGAACTATGTTCGAATTATATGAACCTCTGCTGCCTAATCATGTTTGTTTTTCCAGAATTACTGTTTTTTACATCCAAAAGAATCTCTAAAGCATAGTGATCAATGCTAAGATTGCTTAATTATTTCTACAATCATTATGTGGTGTGATTGTCACTCTCTGGACCCACTTTGTCTTTGTGACCATCAAGAGGAGGTCCCATGGGTGGGAAGAGAGAGGCAAAGGATCCAATGATTCAGCTTTCTGAAAAGAAATCTTGAGAACAAATGTTTGGATGTTCTTTGGTTAGTTGAAGTGTCTTTTTCATAGGATCTTGAGACGTTGCTATTCTGTCTTTATACCATTGTGGTAATAAGGAGAAAGGATCCAACAGTAAATCGGTAAAGATTCAAAGCATTATCATACGGTAACAGAGACTTTAATGAAAATGGTCTTGACTATATTACACTACTTTCTCAATGTTTATTTGCAGCTAGCAAGCAAGAATCAGAGAGGAACTTGGATCACTTCATTGGCTCTGGTGATCATATGCCGTTTGCAGATCCATGCGATAGACCCATCGTCTCTGTATCTAACTCGCCACAGGCCAAATTTTTCTGCAATGTCCCTCCCATTTGAGCAATTCTGTTCCCTCAAGTAATCGATGAGCCACTGTTGAGCTGCTCTTTGGTCTTGCTCCTGAATATCTCTATCTCTGCCTCGGTTCCTACCCAATGCAGCAGCGACCCCTACGGCTCCTGCAGCTCCAGCTGCTCCAGCCATGACAGATGGGTTGGCTAGGTGAGCGATTGCGTGGCCCAAGTCAGGTATCATGTGTCCCATCCCAGCTGCCCAGTTTGCTCCTATCCTCAGTGCAAAAGTCACCAGTTTCATGAAGTTTGTCATGTATGGAGCCAAGCACTTCACTGCTTGGTTGTCTATCTGCATCACATCGCATCCAAGCTGATCTTCTACAACGTGCATTTCCCGTCTAAATTCGCATAACATGTGTATCCTTAGAGCAATCATGCCAGGAACCATCGCTGTTATCAGTCTTCTCCCGTAGTTCTCTGCTCTGATGAAGTAAAACATGTTTGGAACTTGTCTTTCATCCATCTGGACATTGTAGTTGACAAGGTAATTCACTTTGTGATGAAGCTGGATCAGAAGTCTGTGCTCGTAGTATCTCAGTCCTTGGATCTCTTGCTTCAGGTCTCGTATCTCTTGCTCGATAATCTTCAGCCTCTGAAGTACTGCTTCTACACCCTTAGCGATTCCACCAAAGCTAGGATCGACTTTTTCCAGCTCATTGGTGACCGGTACATGATCTTCGGGGTTGTCCTCGGTGGGAACTTGTAGTTCTTGTGCTAAATTGTACAGATCATGGTACCTTGTTTGCAATACTTCTCGGAAATCATCATCAGAGAGGAGGTCGCGAGCTAAATCAAACCCAGTTCTTAGAACAGTCTTACCAGAATCTAGAACAGAGTCCCAGGTGTGTTGATAGTCATACATAGTCTCTGCAGGAACTGATGATAATGCTTCTTTTAATCTCTGGAGGGAAACAAACTGACTTTGTCGGAATCGCGGCGGAGTGAAGTCCTGGACGCATTGTGGTCTTATGATGTGCTCGAGGAGGATTACACCGTGGCAGCTATTCTGGATAGCCGGAATGATGAGCTGGTGAATGAGCCTCAAAGTTTCTGTCAAGCTCTTTGTTGAACAAGCAAGAACATCAATGTAATTTTCCAACTGTCCTCCAAGCTCCACTCTAATATTAATGCCTTGGATTGTTATAGCAATGAGGTACTTCTCAAGGCTATAAGTCACCCCGTGTTGGTTCTTCAGTTCCATGATTCTGTTGTGAAGATGCACCTGTGCAGGCAATATGAACGATCAGTAAGGTTTGAGTTCTAAAGAGATGAATAAACAGAGAGTTTTATTGAGCCCTTGCCTGTAAACGAGGGAAGAATCCAGCAGTGAGGAATATGTGACTTGAATCATCGCACTGGAGATGCCGACCTGAATAAACACAGTCTTGTGTGTTTATCTGCCATTTCTGAGTCTTTCCTCTCCCTTCTTCGAGAATCGATGGGACTAACAATGAAGAATCTGGATTGGAAGGATCTTGTTCATAGCAAAGTTCTACTTTCTTCATCATCCTCACAAGGTCACACGCATCGAAATGCTCAAGTACCTTTGAAGTCATCCCTGGAATCGGACTCTGCAAACTACTTTTCAAAATCTTCTCCAGCTCTTTCCTGCTGACAAAACCGTTTCTTTCCCCGGCGCTTTGCTTTCTTACATCAAGCTTTATCAACTGAGCAAGAACCTCCCCACAAAACCATTCTAAGTCAAGTATCAAAAACCCCAAATCATCAAAGTATATTACCTCTCCTATTTGGTGAAGACATGTAGCTACAGCTCGCCGTCTTGTCTCCACAACTTCAATGTTCTCATTGCGAGACTTTATTCTCAGGGAAGGAACTTTATATTGGCAAAGGTCTCCAAAGGCTTTCCATCTCATAATAGGTTTGTTTGAATTCTCTGATCTCCAGTCTGATAAGAGCGGTAACATATCATTGCAAAGCTGATAAACCCGGGGAACTCTTTGAAGGATGGCTTTGCTTGTCATCCTAATATGATGTGTGAGTTTACTAACCGAGGGAGATGATCTTGCATCAACTGTGAATACAGTCGGAAAGAAATCCACTAAAGCTTGAAACTTATCTCTTAGTCTCTGAATGGATACCACAGTTGCCTGAAAGCTTTCGGATTGCTGATTGATTTTTTCGGAGTGTGTGAGAACAACTGTGACATTTGGTTTCATGCACTGTTGAACCGCTTTTCTCGAGTTGGAAACGATGAATCTAAGCCAGTATTGAAGCTCTTCCTCTACTTCTGCTGGTGATTTGGGTTCTTTATTGCTCGGTTTCCTAAACAAGCTCAATACGATCAAGAAGAGACATGGGCTGGGGAACATAAGATCATGAAGAGCGTAGAACTCGTGCTGCCCCGCGAGATTCCACATGGAGATCTTTGTATCCTCATCCTTGAATGTCTTAATTTTCATCCCACCAACTGTTTTAACAGCTTGCTCCACAGGATTCAACAAAGTTTTCACATTCTCCACATAAGGAAAACCAGAAGCAGAGAAACTTTGCAGGATAGAGTTGCAGAGTGTTGTCTTGCCTGCGTAGTCTTGTCCACAGAGGAAAGCTCTAACGCTCTTCGGCTCAGTAAGTGGCATATCCTTAAGTGAATCCGCCTCTGCTTCATCTATATTCCTACCATTGTGTCCCAGCTTCTGATAAATCTCATCTGCTTTCCCTGAATCTTGAAGCGGAGTTCTAGCTAAATCAATCTCCTCAATCAATGGATTAATCTGCAATGTCTCTGTGATTGCCTCCAATACTCTATCACCTCTTACTCCTTTGCAGCCTTGTAACGAAAACCGTCTTAAAGACGCGTTCTTCTGCAAGCATTTGAAGATCTGTATGATATCACCTGGTCCCATACTCGCATCGTCGTGAATCCCGAGATGAACCACAGTCTCGTTTGTTTCCATCATCTTTAAAATCGAGGTAAGTCCATCTCTTCCAATCTTCGTCCTGGAACCTCCAAACACAATTGACTTGAGCGTGATGTTGGCTTGTAATTGCAGAGCAGAGAATCTACTCAATGGACAAAGCAAATCCTCGACACCAACGCTCCCAAACCGATTTCCATCAACATACAAACTCTGCAAGCTCTTGTTCTTGAAAAGTCCAGCTGCAACATACACAACCGCTTTGTCTTTAAGACCGGTTTTCGAAAGTTTCACTTCTCTAAGAGTCTTGTTCTGCTCAAGAACCCATCTAAACTCTTTCGCCCACCGCGAATTCAGCTTCGCACCCGTCATGTCTAGTGACCTCACGGTTGTGTTCATCCCCAACGCTGCAGCGACTCTGCAAGAACCAGAAATGTCAATCTGGTAAATCCTAAGAGTGTTGCTCTCAGGCAAGAACTCAACAACCTTTGAGCTTCTGTCTCGTTTGTGATCTCCACTCCATACATGAACCTCCATTTCTCTGTTCATACCCAAAACGGCGGATATCAAAGGCGTCGCAGTCAAGGGACTAGAGTCGAATATGGAGAAAAGTTTCAAACTTGAGTTTGTTTCGATCATCTTAGAGAGCTCTTCTGCTCCTTTAGACCCGATTGAGTCTTCCCAAATCTGCAATTCCTCTAACGAGTCGTTCACTTGGAGAGCCGACCCGAGAAACGTAGCTCCTCTGCATCCAATCCTCGACTCTAAGAAGACAATCTCTTTGATCCAACTGTTTCTTTTCAAAATCACTGAGAGCTCACTCAGACATTGTTCACTGAACCTGTTCTTTCTGAAAGCAAGATGCTTTATCTTGGATGTGTTGTCGAGCAACAAACCAAGGCTCTGCAATATCTCGATTTTCCATGAGATTCCTTCGAATTCCAAGTTCCTGAGTGATGTATGAGTCTCTAGAGATGTTGCTAGCTCGATGAAGATCTGGGAAAGTGAAGTGAGGTTGTCTCTGGTGACGTTGATGTTCATGGAGTTGTCTGTTGGTAGCTGACAATGCGTGGCTTTTCCGGACAAGGAGAAGGAAAGGGTTTGGAGATTGAAGAAATTTTGTTGTGGGTCTTTGATTGATTGAAGAAACCATGAAAGGTCTATGAAGCTTTGGTTTGTCTCTGACGCCATCTTTAGGGG